AGGTCTGGTCTGGTCTCAGGTCTGGTCTGGTCTCAGGTCTGGTCTGGTCTCAGGTCTGGTCTGGTCTCAGGTCTGGTCTCAGGTCTGGTCTCTGGTCTGGTCTCAGGTCTCAGGTCTGGTCTGGTCTCAGGTCTGGTCTGGTCTGGTCTCAGGTCTCAGGTCTGGTCTGGTCTCAGGTCTGGTCTCAGGTCTGGTCTGGTCTGGTCTGGTCTCAGGTCTGGTCTGGTCTCAGGTCTGGTCTGGTCTCAGGTCTGGTCTCTGGTCTGGTCTCAGGTCTCAGGTCTGGTCTGGTCTCAGGTCTGGTCTCTGGTCTCTGGTCTCAGGTCTCAGGTCTCAGGTCTCAGGTCTGGTCTGGTCTCTGGTCTGGTCTCAGGTCTGGTCTCTGGTCTCTGGTCTCAGGTCTCAGGTCTCAGGTCTGGTCTGGTCTCTGGTCTGGTCTCAGGTCTGGTCTCTGGTCTGGTCTCAGGTCTGGTCTGGTCTGAGGTCTGGTCTGGTCTCAGGTCTGGTCTCTGGTCTGGTCTCAGGTCTCAGGTCTGGTCTCAGGTCTCAGGTCTGGTCTGGTCTCAGGTCTGGTCTGGTCTGGTCTCAGGTCTCAGGTCTGGTCTGGTCTCAGGTCTCTGGTCTCAGGACTCAGGTCTCAGGTCTCAGGTCTGGTCTGGTCTGAGGTCCGGTCCTGAATGTGTTTTTGTTCTGGAGGTTCTGCCCCGTGGAGAGCAAACAAACGTCCCGTCTCATCTGGACTCTCAGCTCCTCAGGAATGTGATTATTCAGAGCTTTTCACACACGGAGCGGCAGAACCGGGCCTTTCAGAACCCACTTAATGCAGCGTTTAGCATTCAGCTCCAGGACCGACCCGTTCTCACTCCCTCTGTTAATGACGACCAGCTGCGCCCCAGAACTGGACCCAGATCCCAGAACCGCTGAGAGCTCCTAAAGAGCCTTTTGTCCCCGCGAGGACTTGAGACTGGTCCTTCCTTTCAGACAGACCTTCAAAGGCCTGCCTGGGGGGGTGGGGTTCTGACCCGGTTCCTGGGATCAGGTGTAGGTCTACGCTCCAGGCTGTGTGCGGTCCTCACAAAGATAGAGAAGCAGCTGTGTGTTTCAGAGCTCGCTGAGATCCCTGAAACCCATAAGTTCTGGTCCACAACGGTCCAGGGACCGGACCTGGACTTAGTTCTGTGTCCCACAGCTGGTTCTGAACCTCGAAGGTAAACAGATCTGATGGTTCTGCTGAGATTACATAAGATGTTGTCACCCCCAGAGGAGGACGTCCCTCTGTCCAGCAGGACCCACATCAAACTGAAACACCAGCTGGTTCTGACCCGTCCACAGGTCCAAAGAACAGAACAGAACTCACGTGGGTTTGCCGCAGATCTTTCTGTAGTACCACTGTTTGCAGTTGGTGAAGTACTTCTTGTCCGTTCCTTTGATCTGCTGCATGGCACAAACATTAGGTCTGCGAGACAGAGACAGGAGACGAATAAATACTGGACCCGGTCAGAACCCGGTCAGAACACAGTCAGATATGGTGTAAAATGAACCGTTATAAACCGTCACAAACACAATTACATTAAAGTGTTAAAAGCTTTCCACTAACATTTTACTGTTATTTAGCTCACTGTTCTTACACTTTATCATTTTTGTTACTAAATGTTAAATATCAGTGTTAAATCCTAAAGCTAAATGTTAAATATCAGTGTTAAACCCTAAAGCTAAATGTTAAATATCAGTGTTAAA